CAGAATTTTCTTCATGCCAATTTTAAATACTAGTTTTTATTTAGACATTTGATCTTCCACTTACAATACAGTGCTTATAAAGTGCGGTGCTATTTCCTTCCCCGATAACAAATTTTTATTTATCTTTATTATTTGTTAACTTATTTGTTATCTCATTATTTGGTTAACTTTATTATTTGATTAATTTGTACTTATATTTGTTAACTTATCTGTTAACTTTTTCATTTCTATGAAAAAAAAATATTTTTCCTATTTATGGGATATTTAGAAGTTCATTATAGCCGGGCGCGGTGGCTCACCGCTGTCATCCTAGCACTCTGGGAGGCCGAGGGCGGGAGGATCGCCAAGTCAGGAGTTCAAAACCAGCCTGAGCAAGAAGCAAGACCCCGTCTCTACTATAAATAGATAAGAAATTAATTGGCCAACTGAATATAATATATAAAAATTAGCCGGGCATGGTGGTGCATGCCTGTAGTCCCAGCTACTGGGATGCTGAGGCAGGAGGATCGCTTGAGCCCAGAGTCGGGTTGCTGTGTTGAGCCTCTGAGGCTGACGCCCAGCGGGGGGCATCAGCTCCTTAGCCCGGGCAACCAAGCTGAGACTCTGTCTTCAAAAAAAAAAATATTTTTCCATTATGGATAAGAAGTCATTATATATAGGCTACATCGCATTATTTTATTATATTATTCAGTTCACCTAAGTAATTTTTTTGGCTAGTGTGGCATTGTATTATTCCCTAAACGGGGTGACGTTGAAATGTCTTGAGACACTTTTTGCTTAACATCCTGTCACTTGCATCAGAAGGAATCGGTAAACTGCTGCAACCGTCGGCGGTGGACCAGGCTGGAATCATCTAGACATCTTGTGAGTCTCTCCATTGAGAGATCCATTGGGGCAAGTTAAATTTCTACTTCTTCAATTTCTTTTCACTCTGGTTCCTTTTTTTTTTTTTGAGGCAGTGTCTCACTCTGTTGCCCAGGCTAGAGTGAGTGCCGTGGCGTTCGCCTCGCTCACAGCAACCTCAACTCCTGGCCTCAGTGCCTCCTGCCTCGCCTCCTCCGAGTAGCTGGGATACAGGCACCGCCACCACGCTGCGGCTGATTTTTTCTATATAGTTTTAGTTGTCCAGCTAATTTCTTTCTATTTATAGTAGAGACGGGGGTCTCGCTCTTGCTCAGGCTGGTTTCGGACTCCTGGCCTCCAGCGATCCTCCCGGCCTCGGCCTCCCAGAGTGCTGGGGTGACAGGCGTGAGCCACCGCGCCCGGCCAGCAATGGCAGTATTAAGAGATGAACCCATAGCTTGAAGCCTGGAGCAAGGGGGTAACTCCTGACTTATTTTAGTGCCTCTCTGGGCCTCATCATTGGAAAGGGCTCACATTCCTCGGACGAAAGTTCTTTTCTTCCCTCCTCAATATATATACAATGGTTATGACTTGCACGGTGGTCTTTTTTGAAATCAGGTGGCATTTTGTTACGGTGACATTGAGTTTTCTATTCAATGGTGCGTGTGAATGCTCACAAACTGGGCAAATGTCTTTGAGAATCGAGTGGGCACTAAAGTGTCCCTTTTGCATGAATGTCCCAATGACAATTCCCTCTGTAGGTGACAGGCCAGGAAGAACATAAAACAGGGTTTTAGTGACCTGAGTCATTTGAATTTTATGTTCGAACATCGTGCTCTTTCGTGACTTGTTAGGGTCACACTGATAGGAGTGAGGGACATTTTGATCTCTGTTGGACTCACAGGTATTTAGCCAGGAATCGGGACACATCTGAGATGTTTATATTGATCTATAACGTGGCGTATGTGGCTGTCAGTTTCGTGATTCAGTAAGTGACTCATTTCTTCTCTCGTTCCTCCACCTGGTCCCTAACAAACTCCATTCTCTCAGCCGGGCACGGTGGCTCACGCCTGTCATCCCAGCTCTCTGGGAGGCCGAGGCAGGAGGATCGCTCGAGGTCAGCAGTTCAAGGCCAGCCTGAGCAAGAGCCAGACCCCCGTCTCTATTAAAAAAAATAGCAAGAAATGAATCGGCCAACTAAAAATATAAAGAGAAAAAGATTAGCCGGGCGTGGTGGCGCATGCCTGTAGTCCCAGCTACTCAGGAGGAGGCTGAGGCAGGAGGATCGCTTGAGGCCAGGAGTTGGAGGTTGCTGTGAGCGAGGCTGACGCCACGGCATTCAGTCTAGCCTGGGCAACAGAGTGAGACTCTGTCTCGAAAAAAAAAACAAAAAAAAAACAGTGGACAAATTTGGTTGATCGTATTGTGAAAAGCCGTAGAGGCCAAGCCGGGAGGGGTGAGAGGGGAGAGCAGTCTTCCCCTGGAGCCACCCGTGCCTGATGCCAGTTTCCTAAATCTCAGGACTGAGGTGGAGACGGAGGTTAATACAATAATTTCGGGCACCAGAGAGGCTAGCGATGGCAGAAAGACAACGGACACGTCCAAGAACCCGATTTATCTAATCTGTCCTTTATGGCTCCCCCCAGCCCCAAATTAAATGTTTCTATGAGCACATGGTGCCTTTAATGTCATTTTTTATTTATTTTTCTCTATATTTTTAGTTGTGCAATTAATTTCTTTCTATTTTTAGTAGAGACGGGGTCTCGCTCTTGCTCAGGCTGGTTTTGAACTCCTGACCTCCAGCGATCCTCCCGCCTCGGCCTCCCAGAGAGCTAGGATGACAGGCGTGAGTCACTGCACCTGATTGGAACCACGCTTTATTTTTTAATTTTTTTTTTTTTTTTGAGACAAGAGTCTCGCTTTGTCGCCCAGGCTAGACTGAGTGCCGTGGCGTCAGCCTCGCTCACAGCAACCTCAAACTCCTGGGCTCAAGCGATCCTCCTGCCTCAGCCTCCCGAGTAGCTGGGACTACAGGCATGCGCCACCATGCCCGGCTCATTTTTCTATTTTTAGTAGAGATGGGGGTCTCACTATGTTGTCCAGGCTGGTCTCGAACTCCTGGCCTCAAGCAATCCTCCTGCCTCAGCCTCCCAGAGTGCCAGGATTACAGGCATGAGCCACCGCGCCTGGCCTCCTTTTGTTATTTATATTTTTGAGATGAGTCTCGCTCTGTCACCCCAGCTAGCGTGCAGTGGCATTATCATAGCTCACAGCAACCTCCAACTCCTGGGCTCAAGCGATCCTCCTGCCTCAGCCTCCTCCCGAGTAGCTGGGACTACAGGTGCTAACCATGATGCCTGGCTACTTTTCCTATTTTTTTGTAGAGACGGGGTCTGGCTCTTGCTCAGGCTGGTCTGGAACTCCTGAGCTCAAGCGATCCTCCCGCCTCGGCCTCCCAAAGTGCTGGGATTATAGGCGTGAGCCACTGTGCCCGGCTTCACATATGACAATACCTGTTAAATGTAAAGGCATTTTAAACGGAAGATAGACATTGTTCAGGATGATTATCTTGGAAATAGCAAAAAATCATTTTACTGATGAAAAGTAAGAGTTGGTGAAAGAGGCAAAAAAATAAATAAATAAAAAACAATCCCAGAAACCTGAGAAACCCTTCCTTCATGTTTTTTTGTTTTTTGAGACAGAGTCTCACTCTTTGCCCGGGCTAGAGTGCTGTGGCGTCAGCCTCGCTCACAGCAACCTCCAACTCCTGGCCTCAAGCCATCCTCCTGCCTCAGCCTCCTCCCGAGTGGCTGGGACTACAGGCATGCGCCACCATGCCCGGCTAATTTTTTCTACATATTTTTAGTTGGCCGATTAATTTCTTTCTATTTTTAGTAGAGACGGGGGTCTCACTCTTGCTCTGGCTGGTCTCGAACTCCTGACCTCGAGCGATCCTCCCGCCTCGGCCTCCCAGACTGCTAGAATGACAGGCGAGAGCCTCCACGCCCGGCCTCCTTCATGATTTTAGCTCCCAAACACGTGCATTAGTCTGAAAAGTAACGCTAAGTGGGTTGAGGCCGACTGCCCCAGCTCGGGAGAGTCGCGATCAAGTGTCTTTGCAGCTAGTTCAGTCACAACCCGTGTAATCCTGTTCCGATTCTGTCTTTCACAGGCGTCGTCCTTCTGAACTCGGCCTGAGAAATGAGCGCGGTTTACTGCCAGCCGGGCTACGTGTCCCGGAGCGTGGCCCTGGGGCTTGGAGCGCCCAGGAAGTTGGAGGTTGCCTGTGAGCGAGGCTGAGCGCCCGCACAGCACTCTACCCGGGCAAAGAGTAGACTCTGTCTCAAAAGAAACAAAAAAACATGAAGGAAGGGTGTTCTCAGTTCTGGGATTGTTTTCTGTATTTATTTATTTTTTTTTGCCTCTTCGATCCACTCTTACTTTTCATCAGTAAAATGGATTTTTTCTATTTCCAAGATAATGCATCCTGAAGACAATGTCTATCTTCCGTTTAAACATGCTCTTTACATTTAACAGCGTATTGTCACTTACTTGT